TCCAATTATGTAAAAAGTTTTCATTAAGTTTAATAAAGATAAGAGCATGGTCTCACCTTTAACATTAAAAAAAAATAATAATAATAATTTAAATCTATAGTAACTCAATCTTATAATAGTTTAGTTTATAGGTATTTGGTTTTAATTGTAGTTTAATAGTCTAAGACTAAACTATTAACATCCCTAATTTCAGGCTATCAATTTCACACTGATTCAGTTTTTCATAAGCTTAATATGATAAATAATAAATATTAAACTCAGTTAATCCCATATATTTAACAAATATTATATATTTATAATGTGTATTACTTTTTTTATTTTATTCTAACTAGCTATTCTATTTTATCTCTACTACTATACATTCTATATTAAATCATTTATTCATCATTTTATCTAACAATGCAGTTATTAGTTATTCTTACGGGATCTTAATTCATCCTCTGGAAGAATTATAGTCCCATTAGCAAAAATTCAAATATGGAAAATGGCTTTACAATCCAAGATGTTGTGTAACCTACAACTGGCTTAGTCGAATATAGGTATTTAGATTATTTGGCTATAACCATAGATATAACTTCTCTGACTTGTATTGGGGACTTAGTATTACATAACTCTCATATTTCTTCATCACTATTATTTACAACTACAGCAGTTCTCAGTACACCAAAAATCAACCGGACAGAGTAATAATACTCCTCACAAAGAATGTCAATTATACCACTTATGCCACTTAAGCAGTAGATCAAGGTGTAAGTATTTTTACTATATCATAAGAAAGGTATAAAATTATCAAGAGACAAATTTTATATGACTCATGAAGGATATCTTCCCTTGAGGATGAGAAGCCTATGATTAAATCAGACATTAAACAAGTGCAAATTAACGGATACTACTTTATAAGGTAATATCCTTTTTGGTACAGTACAATTTTGAGTATTGGGTACAGTACAGTATATTTCTAAAGTACATATATATACCTAGTAATTTTTGTGTACCTAGTAGGTACGCAATATAATATATATTAATTTAAAAACTGTACCTAATAAAAATATTTATCATCTAGGTATGGTACATTTAATATTTTAAATATATACTGTACTAGATTTATAATTTGTGTACCTTATAAAATATTAATCTTTTGGGTATAGTATGATACAGTTACCAGTAATAGTTAAAATATACATATATTTGACTGTCAAATTTTTGTTTGTTTGTGTCAAGCACTAGAGAAGCTTTTATTATATACTTTTTATCTACCTTACTGTACGACTTATTAAAAGTCTTATTCGTGATATATCTTTTTAACTATTTATCCTATGAAAACTAATTATTTCTCATATTACCCATTAATTATGCATATCATTGATGTTAGAGCTCCTCCTTATTCCATTATTTATACCTTTTCCTCCTTTTCCACTTTTTCAACGTATTCTACCGGAAAACCAATTTATGGTAGCTGCCGCAACAAATTGGACTGGCATATCCTCGATTTTGATTGGCTAACGGACGGTGATCTTCAAAATTTTGGCCAACATTTACAAAATTGGTTAATTTCCGGCCGGAATTAATTTTTTAATTATTTTATAACAAAATAAAAAATAAGCCCACATTATGGTAAAATTGAATCAGGAACAATTTTCACTTAATGGACAGCTATGATTTCATTAGTAAAATTCCGGCATAATTATTTGATCATGCTCTTAGCCAATCAAAATCGAGAATCTGCCGGTCGACAGCTATCGCTATGGTTAATCGTTAAGCTACTACGCCACACCGATTACCTCCTTTCACGTGCTCTCGGGGTATGATCATGCGATTTACAGATAAATTAGTCGTGCAACCAAAATTTTACTTAGCAAAATTCATCAATTACGGCCTGGAATTTTGGCCGATTTGCACAATTTTGGTTGTATTCCAATTTATGACGTATCGAGTTACCTTAGTTATGGACGTAGAAATTTTTTTTTACAAAATTTTATTATATACTATACTTTATTCAACTTTAACTCTAACCTTAATAATACATTAATTAGCTTTGGTATTACTTTGATTTTGTTATACAATTTGTTAATAATTAAAATTCAGTAACTATCAGGAAATTTTTAAATAAGGTGGATATCATTTACTAGCTGCAGAGGCGATTGTCATCGATTAAGAAAATCGATAATCAAATATCGATATTGATTGTTAATCGATTGTAATCAAATTGATTCTAATCGATAGACTTGTCGTTGTTGCTAATCGATTGTAACTTTATTAGCAGCTTGTTTGCCAATCGATTACTGTTGATTTACATCTATCGCTGGTAATCGGCAGAAGTGCAGTTTATCGATTGCCAACAAGTTTAAAAATTGCCTGATTTTTATTAATTTGCTATGTCAAATCATAAAACTTTGAAACACGATTATAATCGATTAAAATCATTAGATTTTTAATCGATAATAATCACCCCAGTCGGTTAAGTGCGATAGAGATTTTAATTGATTATAATCAATACAAATTGAAGCCAACCTTGTTATATATATTGATTATAATCAATTTTGATTTAAATCGATTATCAATGTCCCTAGCAACAGCAATCGTTTAAAATCAAACGATTATTACCTACAATATTTGGTGTTGAATATGATATTCTGGTGGTAATCTTTTTTTAAAAAAAACTTTACAATATAAAAGCATCAAGAAAAACCCAATTTTATGATAGTAAAATTTATTATCCAATTATTTGTTAGAAAATCATACAGATTCTACACAAGCAGAATACACAGATTCTGTCACCACTAATCCTGGATAGTCTAATGTACCGTATAATGAATATGAAAAAACGAGCAATAATAGCTCTGCATTATTTGTAACAATGATAAATATGAAGAAGCAAAATTTTTTGTGGACTATCATATGTATTAATGAACCAATTTTCAATAAACAAGTATGACGCCCTATGAAATTTGAAACATGACAATGTGATTGTGTTACAATGATACTAATTTACAAAATTTTAAATCTTTAACCGACAAATCGTTAAATTTAGTCAGTTTGAATGAAGATCTAATGATCTCAAATTAATCTAAATTAATAAAATAAATTCAAAAATCGTTAGTACAATACAATTTTAACACATATCACAAAAATTTCATAGGTTCAAATCAAATAAACGCGTTTTTTTTTAAAAAAAACTAAATTCTAATAATTCATTATATCAATATATCACAAAAGTAAGATTATCTAACAAACAATTACAATGTACTGAATGGAAATTACGTAACTTCAAATGTTATTGGTAGTCAATTGTTTACAATATTGTCTTTTCTATGCAATCAAATTTTGCAACCTGCAGGCAAATTTTATCTAACGCCTTATTATGCATTATGGCGACTAAGTTGAATTGATGAAAATGGCGTGGGAATAATTGATATCATTTTATTATATAAAGTACTGGTGCAGTGGTTAAAATCGAAGACATGGTAAATATGTGGCGTATGATTGAGTATTGGGCTATTGTGATCAAAGATTGCAAGAATCACTACTACGTATCATTTTTTTGACGGTAGAAACGTTAAATAGCGGAAGAAATCGGGATACTGATAGTGATAACGTTTTAAGCATAGTTTAAGATCATAGTTAAGCACAGATACAAAGTATGTACATACATATATACATATCTGATACGTACATTTACTCCACACTTTTGTATATTTCCATTTATAGTGAGGCAAGAAAAATGATATCAATTGTTTATTATTTTCGTTTTTATCATGTCATCTTGAATAATTCCAGATTAATACCAAGATCACGACAAATTAACGAATAATATCTTGAGTCGTAATTGTATAATCGGGAAACAACATCACAAACAAATCAAGATATTATTATTACAAATATGATACTAACATTTGAATCCCCATTGAATGCCATTTCTTTTCTCACGACTGATTACATCCCAAAACCTCCTCCCTAATAAAAAACAACCAATAACGATAAGAAAGAAATAAATTCAAAACAGGAATAAGGAACATAATTGTTTAACTGCTCAATTAGCCACAGGTTAAACCGTATTATGAAAATAGTAAAAAATAGAAGTTAAAGAAAAAATAATTAAAAAATTTTTTTTTTTTTTTTTTTGTAAAATACAATGTTCTTAAAAAATCAATAGTTGAAAAAAAATGAAAAATGAAAACTACAGTATATTTTTAATCAATGAAAAAAATTGAATATGAACATGGTCATTTTTTTTAATAACCAAAGTTCGATAGAAATTAATAATAATACTTTTTTCTAGAAATTTAACCGTTCATATTACAACTTGTAAAACTATAACAGACATCATCATTCAACCTTTTTTTGTTTTTTTGATCCCAAAGGGAATGAGAATTAATGTTATGAAATATATGTTAAAAAAAGAAATGTTTATATACACGCATTATTATAAAAGTATTGAAAATGGATCGACAATTCTAAAAATATAAGTACACATGTCGATAAATCGAACGAATTTTTTTTTAAAAAAGATAATAATAATGATACCATTTAAAAAATATAGCATCAAAATCATAGTATATTTTGTATCTCTATATTACGCAACTTTTACTGCACCGGAATTTACTGCATCAGAATTATATTTATTGTAATCGTTGAAATTTCCATCAATCGGCATTTTCATTGCTGCCATAACTTCAGACATTGGATCCATCGTAGTTTGTTGTGAAGACGTAGATCGAGATGAAGGTGACGAGATAGACGTCATAGTTGGTTTTCTCTTTTTTAAAGAAAAAAAAATTTTTAAAGTTTTAGAAAATCCAAATTACTTAGTTAGTATTAACATTTATAATTAGATAAGCCATATCAAACCTTAATATGAAATTGCGAATCAGAGGTTGGTGACGAAGAAAATGCGTTTGGAGTATCCGTATATAATAATTTAGTTTCGGATCTCGGAGTTGAATGAGTCGAGCCTGAGCTATTCACTATTTCTAGACGTAATGCAGCTGCAACTTCAGCCATTTGAGTTTTAATTTTCTCTGGCTACAATTTAGCATTTGATTAATAACGAAATTAAGGAAAATTAAGGAAAATTAAGCGTAAATTTAAATGCGTTATACAATCAATTAGTCAAATTTAAAAGGTTACTTACGTCAACTCTTCCACTACGCATTTCAGCAATTCCGATGTGACCGGTATGCTATTTGAATAAAAAAAAGATTAAATTATGATTCAAGAGTTCCGAGAATTGATAATTTATTATAAATTATAAATTATATAAATTTTATAAATAAAGTTTAAATTATTGATATTGTACATACCTGAAAATTAGAAGGAAGTCCGATAATTCCCTTATGAATTTTTTTAGTTCGTCTAAAAACTTTAGACCTTCTAGCATTGTTATTATTTTCATTCGGTGAACCTTGATGAAAACGTGTTCCTTGTTTATTTTGGTTTTGTTTCAATGACGAAGAACTGATACCCAAGCTTCTGGATTGAGGAAAAGAAACGCATCCACCCATTTTTTTTATTAAATTATAATGTAAAAATGTAAATTGTATTTTTTCTATTTTTTCTATTTTTTTTTTGACTTTGCTTTAATACAAAGTTCACTATCCTTTTGTCGTTGTGAGACGAAACGTAGAATATATAAAAACGTTACACGTTAAGCTCTTAATTTTGTAAGAAATCTTAATTTTAAATCTTGTGTTCAATAACAATTACGATACAGTTTGTTTCCGGGTAGAATGGTCAAGGAGACAAAATGTTACAGTAAATTAAATAGTAGTTATCTTTTTATGGCAAAAAAAATAAATCAAAAAAAGGTTTTTTTTTATAGTGTTTAAGTAAAATTACATAATTTTTGGTTGCGCCATTAAATTAAAAAAAAAATTTTCATCATCATAAGCGAAACAAGTGAGACCAATGGTGTTAGTAATTCTCGGGGGGCTATCAATAAATATTAATGTAGAATCTTTATATGGAAGGATAATTTAAGGGGTAAAAAAGAGAAATAGCTTGTAACGTACCCAAATAAGAAGTTACAACCAAAGATAAATGACCGAAAGCTACGGCATGTAAGTATGATATAAAAGATTTATCAAATAGGAAATTTTCTTTGTCTATGATCATGATTTCTTTCTACGTATGCGGCACATCATTTTCGGTTCTGTACGTATATAAGTACAAAACCTGGTACGCACGTATTTATTTTATTGTAACAATTTAGAAATTTTAATAGTATATCTTTTCGATTCATTCATCTGGTACACGTGAGTTTTCCTAATTTTTTTATTTATTTTTTATCAATATGAAATTTTAGTAAGCTAACCCATTTATGGTTAGTTAACCTTTCATTTCGATTTGTTATATCACATTATGTGCATAAATAAGCATGAGAAATTCGTACCACATTTGTCTAAAAACCTGTCATGTTTGTTGGTTATTAGATGTCTTTATCAATCAATTGTCTTAATTAAATACTAATCTAACTAATTAATATCGTGAACAAGATTAAATACCTGTTATTGTTTATATACATAACGTGACTACATGATCAAATCTAAACCTTTTTTCTTTCATCCAATAGTTATTAGCCTTCAAATTTCTATACTAGTACTTGTTTAGCAAACAAAGTTTCATGTACCTATCGTATGAGTTCTTTAAATTTGTAAAGAAAAAGTTCTTGTTTAGCTTATATATTATGTTTATCTACTCTTATCTTTATTTACAAAGGATTTGATATCGCTATTAACCTTTCAAAGCAATCTCATTCTCTACTCTTATTAGCGAGATCTTTATGCGTGAGAATCAATTAAGTTTAAATAATCGTACATTTCTGCATTGATAAAAATTCCAATTTATATCAATCTACCCATCGTATTGGAGTGCTATGAAATTTCTATATGCATACTCTACTTAATAAATATTAGACTACTTTGCGTCCGTGTTAACAATCGTTGAAATAACAAAAAAAAACCCCCCATTGTTTTTGATTTGTTCTCTTTGTATGTATACTTTAGATACTTTCGTACTTTAGTACTAACGCTAATGCTAATGTAAGTGTGAAATTTTTATTCACGTGCATAAATAAATGCGTTTTTTTGTCGTTTAAATCCAATAATATGTGCAGATTTCAAATAATGTCTACCAGTTTTATCTAAGCACTTTTCGTTAATCATTATTCCTTTGAAATCTTGCTTTAAAAGTTCGTGTCAAATTGGTTAAAAATTTATTATCTATCAAAATATACATTTTAAGGGAATATATAGGCAGGTTAGACAAATTAGATGCTCGTCTCTATGTGTGCTTTATGAGTGCTCTATGAACACTCTATGAGTGATTCTCTTTGATGTAACGAGCGATCAGGATAATATTGTAAAAAATTCGCTTCATTTACTAATTTTTCTTTATTAAGTATACATGTAGCAAATAATTGTATGCCATCTTAAAACAATTATTAATGTTTACGAAGTAAACAAAAAAATTAGGAAATTTCTCAATTTATATGTTGTTTTTTAACAATGACATCATGAATGCACTTTATTAAAAAATAGTTTTTTTTTTAAAAAAAAATTGGTTCATTCGAATAAATTTGTTAATTATTACGAGGGTATTTTTAGAATTTTGGTTTAATATTTGTTTTTTATTATTATTATTTTTTTTTTTTGAAAAGGTTTTACTTACATTACGTACATAGTGATTAGATAATGAGAAATTTTTGGAGAGACATGCTTTTATTTAAGGCATACTTTTCTGTACACGGGCATATCGATGTTACCCAAACTATTTGAAACGTTCCAAACTATGTGATGAATAGTATCACACAGTTTTAGCAATTAAAATAAGTTAGTAAATACCTAATGTGATATTATTTATCATGTATCCCAATTAGTTTGGGTAACATCGTTAGCCTGGATATGCTTCTTATACTGTTATAGATATTACGATTGGTTAATCTTATGCTATTATTGGTCAATCAAATCATCATGTTTTAGCTTATCATTACTATTCGTACGTACATACAATGTTCTACTTAACGTTAATCCAACGAGTCGCCCCAAAATGCTGATTACGTAATGAATTTCATAGCTATAGCATACAAAGACTCGGAAATTTTTCATTACATAAAATATTAAGAGAAGTACGATCGGTTCTATTATAAACTAGATTTTTTATTTAAGTTTATCGCATGATTGAGAGTGTACTTCATATGCTGCGGCTATATACAGTCAGACCTCCCTAAATGCACGTTGTCGGGACCAGCTCTAGAGCGTGCATTTAGGGAGGGTTGCAATTAGAGAACACTAATAAAATTATAATGGTACTATTATCATGTGATAAATAGGCTAGAAGTGATGAATTTGATTGGCTAATAATCACGTGGTTGCATTTATGGAAGGAGTTTTTATAAGTAGGCCAGACAATTAGCATGCAATTGCAGAATAAAGAACGTGCATTTATTTATAAGTCCCATTGTGGGGCTAGTCTTCTATCGTACATTTAAAGAGGTGTTGCATTTAATGGGGTTGCATTTAGGGAGGCCTGACTGTAACTCATCATATGACCAGTGTTTTTGAGCCTCTTCTTGCTCGAATCTTAAAATAGTCATCCTTTTTTTTGGTTGATCTTTAGTATAACTGGGCAATATAGAATTATTATAAGATTATTATATAAATAAATAAATAACTATATAACCTAATTTAAGCAAATTTGAGAATAGTTAGAGTTAAGGTAAGATTTATAGTTCATATCAAAGTTAGATTAAAGTTAGAGTTAGAGTTTTTTTATATTATAATCTTATAATATTTTTACAGTATATTACCCAGCTATACTAAAGAAGATCTCATAAAATTTTAGTAAATAGGTGGTGATAGAAGTTCAAGCCTTTTGTCAACAAAGTTAACTATTGCATAACAACTAGAGAACAGTAAAGAATAGGCATCTTTTAAGCTGCACTCTTTTTTTTGGTCAAGTGGTTCCTATGATACCTTTTTTCTGCTCTCCTGTCTTTCTTCTAAAAATTTTTAAAAAAAATAGAAATTTGGCTTACCTTTTTCAAAAGATCAGCTTTGTTTACTTTTCAAATTTAAACAGATTATTTTTTCTATTTTCAAACAGACAAAGTAAAACATAAACATGAGATTGCTTTGACAATAATGCTCCTACACCATGTAACAAACTAATTAGTGCTTTGGTTGACAAACTGATTTAGACCAAACATATAGTTGGAGGATAATTCAAGTATATAACTTAGCTTTACAGTAGAGATATACAAGATTTTAAAATTTAATATATAATTTTTATACACTATGCCTAGTATGAATTATAATAGTGCTTTTATAAATTAATTTTTTTTTATATTTTTCTTCTCCTTTTATTGTTTTTTTACTCATTTTCTTATTACCTAGACAGTTTTTTTATTTTCTCTTTTTTTGTTCTATTCTTTTTATCTTTTTTAGTATTAGTATTTTTTTTGTAAATTAATTAGAAACTACAAATCCTTCTGCTCAGAAAGTTAGAAAAAGAAGGTTTAGAAAAAAGTCAATCTTGATAGCCTATAAATACTATTCAGTGATATATTGAAAAATTTATTTGCAAAGTTTTTTAGTATAAAGATAAACTTTACTATAGCAAATCAAACATGGGTAATTTGGGCACTTCAGTATCACAATAAGCTGAGTTAGTCAATACTTGTAATTTAAATAGGCTTTATTTAATTATAATTAATATTTTATCTATAAGTTCAATATTGAATCCTAATAAAGTATTAGCAAGATTGCTAAATGATTAAAAAAAATAAAGATCTTGTATTATATATAGATACTCTCTTGATTATTATTTTTTTTTTAATTCGGCAGTCTTGCCTTAACTGTTTATTAGTACTCTAAGATATTGCGGTTACAAATATATATATATACATTTATAACTATCTAATTTATTACAGATAAAACTCACCCGGTTACTAACTTAGTACCTATGTATGATCTGCTATATGGGATTTTACCTCCTTATCAACCTTCTGCACCAGGCAGGTTTTTAAACTCACTGGATAGTTCCCAAACCTATTTTATTATATATATTTCGCTTATATACTACTGTATAATCAACTAACTTCCACTCCTCATTACTTATCACATTACTCCTAATTTGTTTCTTGTATTACTTCCAAATTGGTGTCTTTCAAGTGGGCACTCTTCATGCTTCCAGTTTGGTGTCTCTGAGGAGCTACTTTAAGGACCTAATTCGTATTTCAAGCCAGGTGCTGCCAGGTCATAAGACTTGTATTTCAAGCCACCTGCTGCCGTACTAGGGAGTTATTTTACATCATCCAGGTATTCACGTTATACATCACCAAATTAGGCTACTGCTCCTTTTATAGTACTCGTTATCGGTATGGTATTACAGAAGTCTAGATCCTTAGGACGGGAGTTAAGTATCTCATTTAATTATTGTCACAAGCCAGTAGCCCAGAACCTGCGCTTCTGCCATGTTTTGTTATACTCCTATAACTCCCATATAG